CAGTCAACACACCAGGCTGGTTCAAAATTTGAACAATGAATTCTGAACTTTTAATGATACCACTGCATTGAAAGATGGAATAACTGTAACAACTAGGAAGAAAAGGACTGTTTTCAATTGTTCAGGGCAAAATATGAGCATTTTGCAGTTGAATCTGGACCAGAATCTTTTTCTTTTTTGCAAATCAGAAAAAAATGAAGCAGATGAATCCGTTAACCAAGAAATTAAATTAGTGTGGCCTTATCATAACACAGTTAGGCCACACCAATTTACATGTAATTTGTTGGTTCTCGGATTCGCCTCTTCTTTTCTGTTCTGATTTGCAAAAAAAAAAAAAATTCAGAATCAACTGCAAAATGCTCATATTTTGCCCCGAACAGTTGAAAACAGTCCTAAGTTTCTTCCCAGTTGTTACAGTTATTCCATTGTTTATGCAATGGTATCATTAACAGTTAAAAATTTGTTGTTTAAATTTTGAACCAGCCTGGTGTGTTGATTTCATGGCTCCTATCGTACCATTTTGGGCCATGATATGATGCCTAGGCCTGTTTTTATTTTTATTTTTTTTCGCCCTGTCGCTTCATATTTTTCCTGAAAAAATCTGAGAACCAACAAATTAAATTGGTGTGGCCTTAGTACAGGTCTAGAGTTGTCAGTTCTCACCTTCAGTGTCTTCTGGTGGAGCCCCTCCTGCTTCATACTGTACAACACAACAACGACAGGTTTACAACTTCCTCATTTCTAACATGCATCATCATCATTTCTGCAGAAATCGGCTCATTTGAGTACCATATTCATCATCATCATCATCATGTCGGGAGTACCATATTAAAATCTCCTTACTAACTAATACTCGCTTTGCCATACAATGGAAAACACATGCAGGTGAAACACCTTACTAGTACCTTACTATTGTAATGTTTTTGTACATTCCTCTTCAATTGTAATACATTTATGTATATATGAATGTAATGTGTAGATGACAGGAAGAATAGCCTCTTATGAGGCTAATTGTTGATCTAAATAAAACTCAGACTCAAAACTTATCTGAGGATTTTTCACATGTTCACATTTTTCCCTTGTCATGCAAATTTTCTAGCCCCCCATTAACAGGTTCCACTGTAGCCATTCTTTTTTAATTGATGATATAAACTGTAATGGGCCACACTGTCCACACTCGTAGATAATTCTCATCAAAATGCAACCAAGGTGAGAGAAGGTTGTGTAAAAGAAAATCCCCAAATAACAAGAGTAAGCTTGTAAGAACAGAGTTACGTCATCTCGCACACAATCAATAATAGAAGCGGAACCTTACAAGTTTAACAAGTTCTTCTAATGATTGTAAGGAAAACTGTGCAAAATTTAAGGGAAACTGTGCAATATTACATGTCTTGATGCAATGTATTACAATGTCATGTGTCTAATGTTCATGTGTCTAATGTTCATGTGTCTAATGTTCATGTGTCTAATGTTCCTCTGCATGTTCGGACAGTTATGGCCAACGTGACCACGGCTCAATGTTTTTTTCTAATTTCGAATAAAGAATGACATTTTACTACTTAGCCAGTGTCTGGTTCTGTTCCGTACCTGTAGATGTTCCTGTACAGCAGAGTCAGGGGGATACACGATGAAATGCCGTAAGGTGAAGCCGAAGCCGTCCCCACATCTCTTCAGGTTGACTGTCCTGGGGCCCGGCCAGGAGGCTGGGTCATCCAGGGATATCGTTGTCTTGGCACCAGACTGCAAGGAACATACAAGTCAAAATGACTATACAGATAGAAAATCATATCACAAAATTCACATTTGCCTAAGATTTGGCACAACATATTCTTTTTTTTTTTCATTAAAAAAATTTCACATGTAAATTTTTCACGGAATAGAAAACCTGCTCCTTCAAAAGTCATGAAGCCAAAATCCATTTTTCCCTTCTTGAGTTCTCTTGCTTAAAATCTGCCAAAAAAATGCTCCTGCACTTTTACAGAAAGCTGTTAGGAGGCCAAAGTTGGTGTTACTCATAATCCCAAGTGTGACAGCTACATGTATACCGAACACCAAAATGAAATTTCTACTGTAGTACCAAGGAGAGCTGCCTGGGGCCGAAAATCATTTTTGTAAAAGATCATCATCATCAGTCGACTGTATTGGTCTGGGTCAACCTGCCCCTTACGAGGTGATATAGTACTAGTACCCTTTTGTTAGCTTAAATTAAATGATCCAAAAAATCTTGAGTTAATATTGATACTGTTCTGAACTTCAACCAGAAACCACAACAGTAACCTAGTACTAGTCAGTAACCCTGAGGCTAAACTGGCCTACAATTAGTACAAAAGACAATTGTTAGAGACATGATGTAGATCTAGACTATAGCACAAAATTAAAGCTGTCCCTATCCCTCCTGAATTCAGCACACACAGTTACTCATGTCAGATTTGTTCTTTACCGGGTTGCCTGTATTAAAATATATACTATCCATGAACAGTAAAACAGCATTTTTTTAGTTTTTGAGAAACGGTCTGAAATTGTTGGATTATTGTTGCCTGAATATCAATCAAATACGGGCCCTTTACCAAGCCAGCTATATGACCTGTTAATGACCTCTGTTGGAAAACTGCTGAACTCAAGCAACCAGGGCAGCGAAAAAATAGTTATACTGTAAATCATGATGCGGTACTTTTATATTCTATATATTATATTTTATATTATCATTTCTGTACCACAACTTCTGTCAAAAAAATTACATGTGTACCACAAATAATTTGCCTACTCTCTTTTTTCTACACCTGCCACCACCACGAACATAGTTCCATTTTTCTCAGACCGAGAAAGTTTGCTACTACAAATATAAAGTGATTTACGGTATTCTGGAGGAGGAAATCTGTCTGATTTTGACATTTACTGCCGTTTCTTAGCACATTTTCTTCATACTTGATTTGAAGCGTTTGAAAAAGCCCCAAAACAAGCTATGTGTGTCCAGTCAAGGACCAATAAATAGCTTAGCATCAGCCTACGATACAAAACATGCAACCATTTTCAGGGCTTGAAATACTGGGTGCATACATACATATTAGTGCACTGCACCCAATTTTTTTCTGTGGGTGCACTGGTGCACCCAAATATTTTTGTAGGTATTTTTGTACATATCAAAGTCAAGTCAAGTCAGGTTTTTTGCATAAGAAGATTGCAATGTATGGCAAATTACTATTTCTACTACTGCTACTAGTATCCTAGTGTACTAATCTACCTTCAATACATGTATATCTGTTAAATGTATAATAGTATACAGGATATTCTTGGCATCTAAGGGTCGGAAAAAATAATAAAATCTTTGTTGTAGTGCTTGTGTAAAGGATTTTGAAGTTAGTTCCCATTTCAAATTCAAGCTTTGAAGAGGAGCAGTAAGATCGATAAAAAGGTTTTGTTTTACATGTATATGGTGCACCCAAAAATAATTGTGCACCTAATTTTTTAGTTTGGGTGCACCAGTGTACCTATTCCCAAAAATGAATTTCAAGCCCTGCATCACATTTTTGCCTCACAAGTCAGTACACTAATAATAATATTGGGATAGGGTTGATTAACTTGACTACAGTAAAAGAATGACAGAAAACTTCCCTTTGATGCATAATTTTTCTGGTGATAACCCAAACATAAAGCTACAGATATATATATGTACATGTAGTACAGTGTCCTTGAATAGTCAAAGCTCCTTGACAATGTTCTAAAATGCCATATATTCTGATCTGACCAGCATTGAAACATCACATTTTATGCTATCTTATTAAAAGACAGCACCAACTTAGTTTCTGAAAAAAATAGGTCAGACTGGGAACTGTTTTGCAGGTCTCATATTGGTTGAACCCTGACAAATATCCATATTCATATCACATAAACAACAACTTACCAACATAGCTCTCCAGTCTGCCTTCTCTACCACATTTCTACAACCTCCATCCAAACTTTGAACCCTGACATCTCAGTTCTGCTGGAGTTTTTTTCTGCCCAAGCTCTGGAAACAATGACTTTCTCCATGCACTCTCCTGCCCCTCCCCACCACTGGAAGCCAAGCCAAGTGTCAGATGACACCAAAAGGAACAAACCATTGAATGGTCCAGTAAAAACAATGGGTAAAAGAACTTCTTCAAACCTATTTCTTCACACCAAGGGTACTACACTTTTGTTGAATCGTAGCACTCATGACCTAGATCCAACAAAGAATTGTTTGTATCATGTCTATACGGACTTAACGTATGTGATATCCCTGTAACACAGTTTGGTTGGTGCCAGCCAGTTATTTGGAGAATACTGGAGGTAGGGGTAGGTCTCCACCCTGGGCTATTTTGGTCAGCTCAGATCCCAAAAGAACATTTTAGCCAAACTTGATCTCCCCAAGCTGGCCTGTCCTTTTGGAGCCCGAGATAAAATTCTGTCCATCTGTAACTTCAAATTCTGCTCTTAAACTGATCAACTCTTCTGATGAAATAACAACACTAGTCTAAATCTGTCCTAGTTACACTAAACATACATGTGCATGTGCGAAAATGACAGTTTCGTAGTGGTATCGATTCTGATAGCAGAACTTTGTAATGACGCACGGGCATCACCAGCTAAGACCATGGTGACTGCTTTGCAAGGCAAATGAGGACACAATATATCTAAGACTTACATGTACATGTACAATTGTATATTATCAAGAAAACAAACAAGAAATTCTCACCAACTTACTTGGTGACACCAAGTAATAGTATAAGTTATTAACACTGTTGACATCGGGGCTTCTTCAAAATTTGGTACATGTATTTTATACAACCATGAACATATATAACATCCATGGGTATAATCTATGGGTCATGTACTCGTGTAGGCTAATTTTTTCGTGAGATTTTCAACTTCGCAATATTCATAAAGACATTCTTCTCATGATCACAAACTAGAGAATCTCCTTTTAAACCTTTTTTCTGTACTGCTCTCCCCCTTCACACACCAGTAGTGCTTTAGCGGGCAAAAACTCAAACTGGCCCAGTCTCTGGGGAGTAGAGTTGAGACTGGAAGAATTTCATAGTAACAGAAATAAGGCCTCGCCAATTTGATTTGTTGGTTCTAAGATTTAAAATAAAAAATACATGACGCGGTTGTGTGTTTTGATCGCATAATTATTCTACCATTTTTAGCATAATATTGATAACCAAAATAGGTTCCTAAACATAAAATTATGACATTACTGCATTACTGTATCTTCATAACATGATATTATGAAAATAATGTCATACTTTCATGTTTAGGAACCTATTTTGGTTATCAATACTATGCTAAACATGGTACAATATTTCGGCAGCAATGAATTAAAACATAAATATTCTATGATGCGATGTAAGCTAAACAGTGGTGGAAATGCAGCCCTGGTAGCCTGTTCCACACTATACATACTAGTAACATTGCAACTTACGATTTGTAACATTGCAACTTACGATTTGTAACTTTAAATTCAGCACAAATAAAACTGATCATACAGTACCACAACAAATAGCTACACTAATATTATAAAAATAACCATAGACTCGAACGTTTTGAATTCTGAAGTTGATAGTACATCGATTGGTATTACAAGACATATTACTATTAGTATTAGTAGATGTGGGGTGGTTATAGAGGCTATACAGATACAGAATGGGGGAAAGAATGTTGTATTAAATTATACTACAATGTCATGTATTAGTATTAACTTAATAACTACCTTATAGTATTTGATAATGTTCATTTCAGAAACTCTGCAAAATTCCTCTCGTAAAACATAATTCCTCATGTAAAATATGATGTTCATTTCAGAAACTCTGCAAAATTCTGCAGAGTTCCTGAAATGAATATTATCAAATACTATATTATAAGGTGGTTAATACAACATTACAAGGACATTATGTTTCTAGACTAGAGACAAAAATCAAGTGAACAGCTCTGATTTTTGGTGCACGAAAGTGCATATGCAAGCTGTATATACAAAATTGCCTTTATTTTAAGTATACTAGAAACTAAACAGCGTCCAAATGAAGCTACTAAAGTGCCAATCTACATCATGAGTTAAAACGACATTTTATTTTATCTATTATACAAGTTGCCTGAGAATTCAAATCATTTTCAATTGTAGTTTCCAGGCCAGTAGTTTCCAAAGCAAGCCAGTTGCAGTTTAGTAGGCATCTGCATGGAGTCACTCAGCAAAATAAGGACATTTCTCTTTTGTTACATCTTACTACTACACTAAGTCTTGACTTAGACAGTTTTTCAGTAATTTGTTCCACAGTCATTTTCATGTATCTGTCTGTCTAATCTGTCATGTTTCATTAGCATGAAGTTTTTCTTTTTGTTGCGTGTCATAATTTATTTTTATCCTGACCAAACTTCTCCTATACTACCGGTATACCGTATGTACGTATAGCCTATAGGCTCTATTTTGTATTTCTGTCACTCGCTGATACTTTAAATTAAACATAAATACACAAGTACATATATAGGAGACTTTTGTGCAATAAGGTAAAAACGTCTCAATCTGAAGGTATCTTACAAGTTTTTCCCTGATTAAATACTAGTAAGAACTGTATTATAATAGTATATGTCAAACTAACAGTGATGGTAGTAGTATGGTACTGTTTTTTTCTGATGGTGATAGTAATTTTAACATGGACCATACGATTCAAGGTAATCAGAGATTGCAGACTTCACTTAACCCATACTATTTTGCACCCCTTCCAGTCCCGCAGACAACACAGCACCACTGGGCGATGTACAAGTTCTGCAAAGCTGCATAATACCGTGTTTTGTTTATATCATAGAAACACACACATACACATATCCTTACACATAGACCCTGGTGCCCCCCTCCCCACCCAAATCAGCCCACAGTACCACAGGCATACATACATACACACATACACACACAAGCCCAGAACAAAACTAGGGTCTTCAGACAACCACTTGCCGGTGTAGAAGTTCCTAAGAGTCTCACCTCTGTCCTGCCTTTGTGCTGCCGTGTTCCTGCCATAGTTGGGACCCGTGGCTTCAGTTCTGAAGGGTGTTTACATCATGGGACAGTTGAAGACTTCCAGACAATCCACTGTGGGGCGGCGTACACAGCTTCTCCCGTCTGGATCAAACAGGTCAGGGTGGCTTCAAATGCCGCAGATGAAATCACAATAAAACCTGGCGAAACAACAAACTCTCAACACTACAAACGGCCAGGGTTCTCCACGATCCAATCTCACAATATTCACGGCTAGTCTGGACGCTTCCGCTGCCCTGCATATATTACAGGAGATAAGAACTCAACTTGTCGGCAGCCTGTGAGCGAGATTTGTCCAGGTCCTAAAAAACTGACCAAAAGACGCGCTGTTTACCATGATTACGACACAGCTGCGCATGCTGGAGCTACATGACTGCAATGTTAGGAATTTCCATCCTAAGTTACCGTCTCAGACACCGGAAAACTGACAGGAATTTGAACCCACCAACGCGGTGGATGTTTTCTACGCTAGCTTGGGTGGGTCCGATGGCCCTCCCCACTCCGTCTGTATCGTTGGTGCCTGGCTCAAAAATCTGCCTCGGGAACAACCAAACCCCTTACTGCATCCTTGTGGTGAATGACGCAGTGATGATCCTACATTTGCAGGTGGAATCTGGATACACAGATGACAGAATATGTTACAGACACGACAACATCGGGATTGCCTTCGTTTAACCCGAGTATGCAAATGATATGCAAATCATGTCATGGTCCACAGAATTGACCTACACGGGAAAGAATGGTCAATTATGGCCAATACGATAGTTCCAAGGAAAGGTGTCAAAATAATACAAGTATCACAACGATGTGAAGATGTACATGTGATACACAAGTATATGTGTGTCGACCGCCAACCTTATTAATATGTATTTGCATAATTGGGACCAGTTACTGGGCGCTTCTCCACGGGCCTGGGGATGCATCATCTAGTCTTCGCTACGCCTGGGTAAGTATGCAGTATCAAAATTGGTAACGGGCAGCACAAGAGAACGTACAGACTTTCACAACAATATATATCAACTGTAGCCTGCTGGCTTTATTGAACAAATCAAGGAGAATCAGTACAGACCACTAGTTCTAGCGATCTGACTGAAGGAAAAAAAGAGCACAACGTTTGACAACACCAGATTCCGTATTTTGCTGAAAGGGCAGAGAGAATTTATCTACCGTTTAATTTGGTAAAGAATGAATTGTGGTACAAATATTGCCAAAGATGCACATTCCATTGTTAGGAAGCAAGAATGTCCAACCACGATTAATAATCTTGATGGGTTGCGTAAAGCTGGCAGACCTGGTATGTTCATTAGAGGTTGGTGGAAACAACAGTCCAGTCTGCGCCCCCTGACAGACAAGGGTAGAATTGCAAGTAGCCTGGTCCTGTCACACTGACTGTAGTCAGAGGGTCTGCATGGGGGGTCCTGATTACGCTTTACGCTAAATTAATGGAGGCCCGCAACGCTTTACGTTAAATTTCCGGAAGGCTGGCAACGTTTTACGCTAAATTTTCGCCTCCTCACTACGAATAACGGTAAATAAAATGACTTCCCTACGAATTACGGGAAATTATAAAGAGGCCGCCTAGCCTTACGGAAAAGAGCATGCAGACCCTCTAGTCAGTTTGTTGCAGCACTGAGTGGAGAGGCAACTGATGTATGTATCTCACTCAGTGTGTGCACACCAACAAGACCTCATTGTCCTTGATTGTGAGTAAATCTTGTACAACTTACACCAACAATTTGACCAGTTTAACTTTAAGCTGCGCTATTTTTTGACAGACGGCTCGTTCCAGACCCATTGTCTATAAAAAAAGGCCAGATTATGCCTTATTAAAAAGGGCATGCAGACCCCCTCTTATTGTTGCCATCAACTACATGACTCTTATGGAAAAAATTTTGAAGGAAATAAATGTAAATCTGGGATGTTGCATTTGTCAACTTTGCGAACTGAACTTAGAATCCCCTCTGTCTATCCAAGGCATTATTGAGGGCCTGCAAGGGGGGTCCCAACAGTTCGCTCTACGCTGAATTCGGAAACCCTCGATTACGCTTTACGATAAATTCTAAGTGGCTACAAGGCATTACGAAGAATTAAAACGGCGAATACCCTCTACGTAAAATGTGAAGAGGGGTCCCTCTCACGCTCTACGTAGAATTAAAATGGCCAATTATGCTCTATGGAAAAGGGCTTGCAGGCCCCCATTATTGGCAGGGATAATCAGTTTCTTGCTTAACGTTGTTGGCAAGGCACTTCAATTTGTTTTGGTGACAATCTGATATCCTGACTCCTGATTGACAATGTTAGTTGTGGCTGGGTTAGGACATTTTGAGGCTGATGGCTGTTTTCGCATGTAGAGCTAAGAGTCTGTTTCTGTGGTCAGGTAGAGGTCCGATGGTTGATAATTGTAACTTTTTTCTCTCACCGCCAAGGCCCGGGTTTGATTCCTTGTGTTGGAACCACTGTAAGAAACAGAGGTGAGCAGTAGAAACAGATAAAAACCCCTGGTCCCGAGCCGAGGTTCAAACCCACGACCAAACCTGGGCACCAGTCCACAAGCCAATGCTCTAACCACTCGGCTAAAAGGTCTTGACCCATCGGCTGGGTCAGTTGGTAGCGCCTTTAAACACCCACGGATACAATATGGTTTCTATGACTGTGTCAATGGCTGGGATTGTATTTGAAGTTCAGTCAGTACAGGGCCAGAAAGGTGGATGAATTGGGAAAGTCACTGTACATTTGTAATTCCAGCCATTATAACAATTGTGCACACAGAGGCCGATCAGCCACAAGCTGGATTTGGATCCCGTAGTTATATTAGCTCATAAAAGCAAGTGTGCAGAAATTGCATGTACCATATTTTGATAATAGCTCTCAAAATTTCCTATTATATAAATGCCCACCAAAATTTGCTAATCTCTAACAAGACATGTTCAGCACCTTGCCAACAACAAAGCAATTGATTTACCATGGGGGAATTGCCTTGGGTAGACAGAGAGGGGATTGTTGAATTAAAAGAACTTAAATTACATCACAAATCTGGAGCTTCCTGCAATGCTTGGCAGCAGCATTCCTCTGGATGAAGGAAAAAGTGTGTAAGGCCACCCCAATTTAATTTGTTGTTTCTCAGATTTTTTCAGAAAAAAATATGAAGCGGCATGGCGAAATAAAAAAACAAAACAGGCCAAGGCACCCCAGGATATAGCAGGAAATTTGACAGTATGAGCCATGAAGTGAACAAACCAGGCTGGTTTATAATTGAAACAATAGATTTTGAAGTTTTAATGAAACAAATTTGCATTGTTACATTGAAAAACTTGAACAAGTAGGAAGAAAAGGACTTTCTTCAACCGTCGGGGCCAAAATATGTCTTTCATTGTCAGTAATGAGCATTTTGCAGTTGATTTAGAAAAAAGATAGACAGGGCAAATACGAGGAACAACAAATTAAATTGGTTTGACCTAAATGAGGTTTTTTAATGCTCTTTATAGAAACAGAATGTATTATGTTACAGTCATCATGTATGATGTTAGACATGTGCTGCTCAGGTTGGCGTTACCGGTACTCTTTTGCATCTTCCCAGGTCAATGTATTGATATTTTCTTGTTTTCATTGCCTTTTCAGTCCCAGCAGTCATGTCTTGGAGAAAACAGTGTAATCTTCCATGGAAGGCCAACTCCAGTAACCACCCTTCTGGATTATGGTTTCCTACCAAAATAGAGCACTAGTAGTAGTACACTCACAGCATAAACTATATAATAAAGATGAAAGAAAAGCACAATAGTTGTAAATAGTTCTTCTTTAATAGATATATCCAACAATGCTGTTAGTACAATCCAAAGATGTACATTTAGACACCATGGGTAGCTAGAGGTATGTGCCAAATATAAAGATTATCTAATGCAGGGATCATATTACATTAAAAAGGACATCCTTTTCAGATCAATTAAGATGTAGACTTTAATAACTAGAGTTTGTAGAACACATGCTTTCATTTAAGAACACATGCTTTCAGTTGTAGAACACATGCTTTCATTTGTACATGTAGAACACATGCTTTCGTCAGGTGTAGATATTATATCCTTTTACACCAAGTCGACCTTGGGCTGCAGCCTGGATGCCGCTATATCACACAAACACACTATCGAAGATATAGACTTCTTTTTTTCAAGGCGCCAACCTGACTGCCAAATCATGCTGCAGGTTGACCTACATATATGTACATTCCAGTCCCAGATGTGTCTTAGATTCTTGGACATGTTATCATCAAGCCCATCAGAGAATATGTTTACCTCATTTCTTATGTTAATTAGAACCTGATTTGCATAATATGCATCTCATTATGGTTATCTTCACCTTAGACACCTACCCACCAAAAACAATGAAAAACCATCCACCCGTGCTCCAGTTATTTGCAATCAAACTCTGAAACAAAAACGCCTAGTGCAGTTCAAAAAAAGCTGCTAGGAGGCTAAAAATTACACCACGTACTCCTAGTCCCAGCAGCTTTTGACTACTTAAAAATCATCAACCTAATGCTTCCGGAAAATTTTACCTCAAACTTTGAAGCTCCGCTGCAATATCCAAAACAGCCGCTAGGAGGCCCATTATTGACCTTGACCTGCGTCTTTCTTGTCCCTACTTAACCACTTAATATCATTAACAACCATCTGTGTTTTCTCAAGTTATATGTTGTACACACAAAAAAAACCAAAATACACAACTCTGCAGCAACGTAGGAACGTGATAGGAAAACGTATGAACATGAAAGGGACCCAAGAGGTCGTGGGTTCGAATCTTATGCCCCTGGGAAAGACACTTTACACGACTTTCCTCACTTCACTCAAGTGGAAATGAGTACCTTGCTTCGGTTAGGGACGTCTCTCAGATAGGACGTTAAATGGAGGTCCTGTGTTTTGGGAGAGCCACACCCCACGCACGTTAAAGAACCCACCATACTTATCGAAAAGAGTAGGACAGCTTGTTTAGATGTGGTGACAAAAGCAGCTGTAGCAACTAGATAAGAGTGGCCTAGTTTGTCTACCAGTCCATCGGGACTTTGCCTGGAAGCTGTCTTGTTTTCTAGGACAATGTATAAATTATCCTTGCCAGGGCGACTAGCCTGTGTTAGACAAGCTCTCGGCCGGAGGTTAATGACCCCCACCCCATGGGGCGGCCGGCCGCCAGGAGCGCGATTAGTCAGGCTTGGGCGACTAAACAGGTGGTCACGAGTTTCAGCAATTTTAAATTTACGTAAGTTTGGACACCTGGACAAGAAAACAATTTACGTAAGATAGGACACCTGGACAAGAAAACAGTCACCAGCCGCGGGAAAACATGCCTGATACGGAAACGGCGGGGGTTGAGGGGAAATCGGAGCTTGTCTTCTTCGTCAATGGCAGAAAGGTAAGTTAATTTGAGGCAAAGGTTATTGAAAAAAAAAAAAAAACGGGTTCCACACTGGGCGCCTAGGGCTCGGGACTCGGGGAGAAAATGGCGTCGCCACTATCAGTAATCTGCCCCTCAGCGAAAGCTGTACAGAAACATTTTAATGTCTGCGAGGCCTGATAGCGCTAGCGATATGCTTTTTTTGTGCCAAACAAACTATTCTGCCACCTGTTAGAAGTGTAATAAGTGGTCGCCAAACCAGATCAGCTTATAAACTGAACACTCCTCGCAGCAGAACTGATCGTTATCACAATAGTGCTCATTCATGATCCGCCTGCTTAACATGAAAAACTGTCACATTTTTTGGACCTAAGACTTATTTTAGTGTTATCATTGTCCGTCGGTATTGTTGTTTGCACTTGCAAACGTTTACTGACAAGATTTTATATACATTTTATGTAATGATTTTATTACTATTTTAAATTGTTTAATATGACGTTTTATACTGTTTGCTGTTTATGTAATGTCCCGATGTCAATTCAGCCTCTGGCTGCCATTTTTGGGACAGTGTTGTTGTATTTTTAATGCAAATAAAAGCAATCGAAGTGCTCTGAACGCGTACGGAATGCTACCCTCAGTGATGTTGTACGAAAAGCCCTTGCCGTACGTTTCTTCGGTCACCTACCGCGGTTTCCAAATCACCCCTGACCTGCTATGACTAGGATTCCATTCATAAACAAACTCGACATATGTACAGAAAAAGTCATTTATCCGCAAATGTGGACACTGTTCACCCGAGGTAAAATGCATTCTCTTCATATCACACTGCAGTGCAATGTACTGTGCTCAGCTTTGGTCCAGCTACGGAGCTGGAACCATCCATAGGTTACGAGTTGCCTTGATAGTTAGTACGGTCTAAAATGCTTTTGTCTCAGCCGATAAATGTTAATAATAGCGACTTATTTGTGAAGATTCGTGTTGATACTTTTGATGCCAACCGACGGAAACTGCTGTATTCGTTTGCCTCTCGCTTGATAGGGTCTGGGAACGATTATCAAACTGTTGCTCCGTTCGGAGGCTTTTTCCTCCCACAGCCTGTTCTGGCCATGACATTACTGTACATTGACCCGCCCACCGTAAGGCCATGTTGATTTGATTATATGGATGACATCCTCCGGGAGCCCCAAAACTGATGCGCGCGTGCGAATAAAAAAAAGTTTTGCAAAAAAAAGTTCTTTTCATTATGAAATCTACGTGGTCATGAGGATTGAGCAAATGGCACAGAATATGGTTTGGCGAATAATCTAGTCTTCAAGTTCATTTCTTTACAATTTCGTCTTTTTTCGTTTGATTTTTGCATTCTACGACATTGGTATAGTTTTTATTATTTTTTTTGTAACTTATTGTATATTTTTGCTAATTTTGCAACTGTTTTGTACGATTTACAGTATGGTTGAAAACTTTTTTTTTGGAAACGGCCGAAAATTCATGCGCGCGCGGATTTCATCCATATAATCAAATCAACATGGCCTAAGGGACCTCTGTACATGCCTCGTTGTTTTTTTAGATGTTTAGATGTGCCATGTTAATTTCTGTATGCTATAGGCCGTCTAACGATAAATAAACTAGAAAGGCCGACATTTGCTCAAGAACAAATACAGCACATTTCACCCATCTTCCTCCCCATTCCAAATTTCCCCATGCAACCCATACCACCCTGCATCTGCTTGGAGATTACCTTTCCATACAACCCTGTATCTATTTGATTATCGTAAGTTTGATCACATCATCCCAGCAGCCAATCAGCAAGGAGAAAGTACTCCTAGCCTGTGTTACACAAGCTCTCGGCCGGAGGTTAATGACCCCCACCCCAAGGCAGGTATTTCTGTACACATTAAATGTATGATAGTATACAGGATATTCTTGGCAAACAAGTGTCAGAACAATGATAAAATGAAGAGGAGCAGTAAGGGTTTGTTTCATATGGTGCACCAGTGCATGCACCTATTCCCTATTCCCCAAAACGAATTTCGAGTGATGTATACCATTTCAAAAGCCTAACTAGGCCAACACTTGCTCAGGAGCAACAATGGACCTGCCCCCCTCCCACATATATATATACACAGCTCTGTCCAATACCTAATTTAAAAAAAAGCCTCCCCAATTTAAGAATGGATTCCTCTAGTGGCCCCTACATTATGTTATGGTCCAGTTAAAACACTTCCACACACACCAAGTCGAGTCCAAAATTGAATTCGAAAGAAATAACAACTCCTCTATTTAACAACATACCTTTCCACACCAAATATAGTATTTATCTGATCATGCCCGTTCAAAATTGAATTAAAACTAGTTGGAATAATTGTATTATTTAGTTACATGTGTGCCCATATACGTGTATGAGTGAATTGATTCGGTTTAAAGATTTATTTGGGCATTGAGCTCCTGACCTTATGCCCAAATATGGTCACATCCAACACACACTACTATAGTACATTACCTATAACATAGCCAGAAAGACCAAATAAAACCAATCTAAAATCTAAAAGTCTGTATCCATAAAACTAAAAACAAAGACATCTGGGGGTATTTCGTCACTGTACCTTTCTGTCAAATTTGGCCCAAAAATGAAGAAATTGAATATTCCATTTAACGAAATTGCAGGAAAAGGAGGGCCACTGGACACACAGTGTTGACACAACCTCCCCACCGGAAGTCTTATGCGGAAGGTACCTTCAGCACCATGGACAGCGAGTGCTTAGAAAGAAACCCGGAACGGTCTCGAGTCAAGTTTCATGATGCGTTCTAATACTTCCGTTTTTTATGCGTCATTGATGACTGTTTAGTGTTGCATCGTATGGCAACACATAAGGAGATATGATGTTGACACAACGAATAAAATAAAAATAAGAATAAGAATAAAAATAATAAAACGAGTGAAATCTTTTCTTCTGTCTGTAGGTTGTGGACCAGGATGTTGACCCAGAGATGACCCTGTTGACCTACCTCAGGACGAAATGTATCCTTCTGTACTGCACTTTCTTTCCTGACAAATGTTTTACTTGCACCCAATATTGTCGATAGTTTTAAAGCTTACATGTGTAGGGCAATTTCGCATGTCTATCGGAACCCATGTAGTTCAGTTCAGTTCAGGTCCTCCACGTGAAACGAGGTGCCACTCAGTATGTCTTTTCACACATCCCGGTCAGGTATGGCGGCCAGCAGGTTACAGTCCTTCAGACCAACCTACTCTTCTATCACTTTCTTGAGTGTGAGGTTCTGTCAACCCTTCCTTTTTGCGTCCGGTTGCCAGAGGAGTGCTTTAACGGCCATCTCGCCACATGCCCGGCAAGTGCCAGATGTCAGTTCTGAATGATCTATAGGCCAAGTAAATTTTATGGATGACATCCGCAGACTCCAAAACTAATGCGAGAAGGTGAAAAAAAACAAGGCGCCCCCCCCCAAACAAGGTCCCTATATTTTGAAATTTTGACATCATAAACCCTGTTAAGCAAGAAATGATACATATATTGTGCTAACTTTTATATAATACTGCCAACTATCACAACTATCATTTGTCACTGAAACTACTTTGAAAAAGGAAAGTTTTCAATCATTGTACAAATGGTTTTGATTCAGTGGGAACATATAAAAGGAATGAAATACATCACTGCATCAAAGTAAAAGTCAAAACAATAAACTAGAGCGTTGTCTTGTCTCCTCTCTTCGTGTTTATCTGCCATACACGTTCCAGCATGGAAAGGCATGTCATTTTGCCCATTTTCGGCATGTTGACAAGGGCAACAAAATTTCTTGTTCTTTTTTTCAAAATCAGGCGAAAATCCATGCGCGCGCTGATGTCATCCATAAAAATTAATTGCCGTGGCCTTAATAGTGATCGGGGGTACACCACAGTAGAGTTCTTTGTTACTGTATACTACCCATGTAGTACCTGATTTAATTGCACTCCCAGCACTACCTAGTCATATACATGTAGTGTTTATTTTATAATGACGTGTACCAATACAGATGAACTTTCGTGCCATTCAAACTTTCATAGAACACCTCATCCTACTAAAGTAATGTACCACGTATATGAGAAAATATGAAGGTTTATGTCTGGAAAAAATATTTGACCCAGTGTTGACGTCACACTTCAAAGAAGCCACGGGTCAGTCTACCGAGGAAGACCAGAGTGACTGATCGAAAGCTCTAGGTGAGAGAACTTTTTTTTGTGTGTTGGACCAAAAGTTTTAACTTTAAACAAAATTATTTGTTGTTGTGTTGTTGAGATTCCTTAACAGTTGACCAGTACGCCTGACAGGAGCGAAACTGGGCTGCGGGGAGGGAGGATGTGGAGCCTGTACTGTCATGGTGTCCAGGTACAGCCAGGCACAGAGGAAGGTGCTGTATCCTTTTACACATATACCATACCTTTTACAAGATATAACGTTACATGGGGATTGATATATAAATATAGAATACAACACGGTGTATTCCGTATCGCCCGAGGTACCAGCCCGACCGCGCACCCTGGTCATACCCACCCAAAAAAAACACACCTTTCAATGCGAAATGAGCGAAAATTTGGTGTCCCTAAACCCAAAAGAATAATGCAATAACATCAATTCCAACGTCCGAATTTTGAGTTCGACTTTTCGAAATCGGTGCACGCGGTTAGGGCGAAACGCGTTCCAATCGATCTTAGAACATTTGGAACCCCCAGGCCGTACGCGTTAAGAACCCCCGGGCCGTACGTACCGCTAGTTATCACACGGGTCGGAACACCCGTATCAAACGTAATCGCGGCCCAGGTTGGACATAACATACCAGACTGCTTAGACTGTGATAACGTTCGATATGGGTTAGGCTTGTGTGATAACTAATGGGTTATCCGACTTTGGTAAGGATGCATATGGTGGTACCTTGGGTGATAGAAATACCACTACACCGTGTTGTATTGAATGTATTCTACATTAATGCTGTATGTATCATGGGCATTCCTGGATTACAAATCAGCATATCCCAGAGTGGCGGTTTATAAGATCTAGATATATACTGGAATATATTGTATAAGTATAATGGACATTACTGGGCAGCTGCATATTATAGAATGGTGTTGGGGTGAGGGGGGCATATGTGGGTTGCATGAGCTGCTGCCTAACCCAGGGACTTGTGAATTAAAGAGATAAAGTATCATAAACACAGGATAAAAGATGCGTTGCAGTCACCCTGCTTTGAATACCTGTCTTGTTCCTATTTGCTCCCTAGTAGAGTTGGGGTTCTTAGAAAATGTGTAGGGGTGGCGGCTTAGGTGGATTGCGTGCTACCCTGGGACTTGAGGTGATTTACACATTAATAGACAAGACGTGTGTTTTCCTGAGTACTGCCGTGCAGTCACCTTGCCGTGAACGCCTGCCTCGCTCCTATCTGCTCCCTACACGGCGCAGCTGTCACCACAGTGGAAGGGATCGGCAGCACCCGGACCAGACTGCACCCTGTACAGGTCAGGTTCTCACCTTCTCTCCTGTAAAGTCAATGTCCTTCCTGCACCACGTGTTGTATAAGGTAGTACCAGGACCAGGCTGTACCTTGCTAACAAAGGAGAAACACAAAAGGTTCGCTGCAGTGACATAGGGACCCCCCACGAAGTTAATTTTTTTGTATTTGATCTTGGTTTCCCCATTGGTAACCTCCCTGCCAAAAAATCATGAACATCGATCCATGCCTCCAAGTATTATTCAAATCCACAGTCTCCCACACTAAAGCAGACTAAAGCTATCACTTAAAGGCAAACCTACTAGCTATGTGGTTCTGATTGGCTTACCAGTAACACACCCGTTAAGTTGGAGTAAAACAGCCAGTAAAAGTGCAGTATGGCCACTCCCCATTGTCATTTAATTTGCCTGTAAAGTGTGTGTTTTTAAAAAGTGTGTCTTGCTGATTTTCCCTGATCAGGAGAGGATAGCGAAGGCTCATGGTTCCCAGTGTGGGTTCTGCACCCCGGGGATCGTCATGTCCATGTACACCTTACTGCGCAATCACCCAATTCCCAACATGGACCAGCTGGAGGCCGCTTTTCAGGGTGAGTCGATCCTGCACTCGCTGTTATTACCTTCGCCAAGAAGGTTATGTTTTTAGAGGCGTTCGTGTATGTGTGTGTGTGTCCGTCCGTCTGTAGACACGATAAGTTGAATCTTTATTATTCTCCACTCAAAAAATGTACATCAGCAGGGGGGAGTGCAAAAAGCACCCCCTCTGAATTGGGTACAAATTTTCACATTTCCCTCATTAAAAAAAAATTCACACAACACATCTACTTAAAAACATATACAAAGACACATACAAGAATTATTTACAATATATACACAGTTCATGCCGATTTCTGCAGTGAGTCGTTGTACAGTCTGATCGCGCAATGCAGGAAGGACTGCTGCAGACGCTTGGTTCTTGCGTGAGGGATCGTGAGGGATAACTTAAGAAGACTTAAATGGATTGTTTTCATACTTAGTAGGTGGGTAGGTCTTGATGGGATCCCAAAACTAATAGATTTTGGACCCCCTAGCGGCTTGTTATGGTACTGCAGCTGAACTTCCGGTTTTGATATCTCAAGATCTAGGCAAGCTAGGGTGACGAAATTTAGATGGTAGGTAGTTCTTGTGCTGGGGAAGAAGTGTCGTAAGTTTGAGCTCCCTAGCGGCTTGCTCTGGAACTGCAGGGCTATCTGCTTGAAAATATTCAAAAGAGGATACTAGTAACTCAAGAACCGGTTGACAGATCGTCGTGATTTTTGGTATGCATCTAGCTTTCATGATGCTTAATATAATTTTGTGACAGTTATGGAAATATGAATGTAATTTACATAATTTATGGGGAAATTCTATAAATCAGCTGCATTCCATCATAGGACTAATGAAGCTTGTGACATTGGTAATTGAGAATAAGATAAACACTAGAAGATATTGATTATGTAAGTGAAGACTTAATTTGCATAATGAATGAGAAAATGTTATAATTCTGTAATCATGATAACTGCCTGGAATTTCATACTTATGGTATTTGAAAGTTCAGTGAAGGTGAACATCATTAAACATGATGCATTCAAATTAGGATGTCATTTGCATAATTTATGAGGAAATGCTAGAATGGCATTGTTTGTTGATATATGACTGTCTTTTGGTTGAGAATATGATAAACTGATATTAATTCATGAAAATGAGGATCCTACTTTGACAAAAAGGGGGAATAATCTATAGTTTATCAGCCATAAACATTAACATCATTTAGCAAAGGTATGAGATCGGGGAACTCTAGTTAGTTTGTCATTGTCAAGCATGTCTGAAGTTTGTAGAGCATCTGCCAGATTAACTCTTTTGTGTGCTTTACTACGCCACAGCTTTTTCTTCAACTGAGATCTGCCACTTCTGATATGTCAGGTGTCTTTGGCTCAAGAAAACTCTTCCTCTAGACCTAATTAACCCTGCTTTATGCTCCAGTATGGTGGGTAGTCTCATTGTAAGTCTCGATTCAGCACTTCTGTGTATTCACTATTTGATACTAATAAAGTACCAGATGAATATCAAGTCATGACAAAAGTTTCAAAATTGCAAATATGCAAAATGTGCAATAAAATGGTTTCCACTTCCTCTAGGTAACCTGTGCAGGTGTACTGGCTACAGACCTATTCTGGAGGGATACAAGACTTTCACCAAGGTACAGATATTCTGTGTGGCTTAGTTGTAAACTTGTGTGGATGGCATTCAGCACCAGGGACGGTTCTGTGTGTGTTTGTGTGTGTGTGTATTTGAATGCGTGTAGATGATTTCAATGCTAGGGACAGGTCTAATTACATGTATGTACACATAGCATCCAGCACAATGGATAGGTATGTTTGGCTTTGTTGATGACACCAGGGACAGCTTTCCTATGTTCAGTGTCAAGGATATTTTTTATCCTTCATCTTGAATAAAAGGCAGTAGAAGGTGTTTCTAATTCATGCGCTGTACTTTTGCACAATTTCCAGGAGTTCCAGGGCTGCTGTGGAGGAATGGCTGGGAGCGGCTGCTGCCGTCACGTTCAAAACGGGAAGTCAGCCAATGGACAGGTAACCAATGGGCAGGCAGCCAATGGCAACACTGGCAATGGATGGATTGAGGATGTGACTCATGCTGCACAGGTCTCCACCGAGTTGTTCCAGGTGTCAGAGTTCAGGCCCCTTGACCCAACCCAAGAGCCAATCTTCCCACCTGAGCTAATGGTAAATGGCATCATCGTTTATTATTGTTTTAAGTGTTTATGGGTATTCAAACATTTATTTCTGTCAGAGTGTTTAGATCCAAGGTCTTGTATGTACCATTGCATGCCATAGAGGACACAATTCAATATGGGATTTGTATTTTTTGGCCATATTCTAACTAGTTTATCACAAGTTATATCCTAACTACCCAATATGATTCATATAGATATCTGAGAGTGGTGATCAGACGACTCTGAAGTTTGTTGGAGAGCGAGTCACTTGGATCAAACCTGCAACTTTCAAGGAGGTTCTGGAACTGAAAACAAGGATTTCACATGCCAAGCTGGTGGTTGGGAACTCAGAAGTTGGTATGTATGAAAAGAGATTTAATTAATGTGATAAAATGATTTCAAATGTTGAGGTTTGGAGCGGTGTAAAAACTTTTAATCATAAATAACCCTGGAGGAAGAACAACGGTTTGAGTTCAGATCAAAGAAGTATCAAAAAGTATCAAAGAAGTGCAGAGTATACATTCTTAAAAGTTAATCCATCAAACATAATCAGTGGTGCTAGACACTAGTGCCCTAGAATGCAACAATTTATATTGTTCTTGTGAATGACAAAAGAGTCGTCTTTGTGCAGGTGTTGAGGTGAAGCTTAAGAACTGTGAATACCCCCTGATCATCGCACCTGGACACCTGCCTGAGATCAACTTCCACAGGTACACCGAGCACGGCATCACATTCGGAGCCGGATGCACACTTACCTACCTCAATGACACTCTGACAGAGGCCATAGCTGATCTTCCAGGTAAGAGTTTTTGTTTATCTAGAATTTTTTTGTTCTATGCACTTTTTTTTAAAATGATGGTATAGTTACAGAATATGGTAAATAAATAAGAGTGACTGACGTCAGGGGATAGCATCATTAAGCACGAGGAACATAGTTAGCTTTTAGTAGTTTAAATGTTTCTAGATTTCTGTAATGTCTCACCCTTCGTATTTCCTGTGTGAACAGAACATCAGACCAGACTGTTTGCTGCCATAGTGGAGATGCTGAGGTGGTTTGCCGGCCACCAGATCAGAAATGTCGGGGTACGGTTTATTATAACAGATTGAACTCGGGTCACAGCCAGTATTTTGTCAGCCTATAACATTTTAGATGAATTGTTATAATTATCAATTGTGCATTGGAGGTAACATTTGATGTACAAGATATATTCACATGGTGATATTTTTGTGTTTTGCACTGCTCTATCATGTCATCAAATATTACATAAAAAACTTGATAATCAAACAATAAATATAGATGTTAATTTTTCCTGCCAACAGTGCATCGGAGGGAACATCGTGACCGCCAGCCCCATCTCTGACCTGAACCCCATCCTCCTGTCAGCCGGCTGCACCGTGACGGTGGCGTCCCACCAGGGAGGCAGCCGAGTGGTCAGGATGGGCCACGACTTCTTCCCCGGCTACAGGAGGACTGCTCTTTCTCCTCAGGAGGTCATGGTGTCTCTGGATCTTCCTTTCACCAAGGAGGTGTGTCAGTTCTTCTTAAAGAGCAGATGCTACTTTTATGTTTACCTAGTTTTCAGAAGGAAAAGCAGGATGAAACACATTGTTTTACTCTTTTCTACTTCACCAAACAAAAAAGGTCAGATGGCTGTCACCATGGTAACTGGTGATGTATTACTCCGTTGGATAACATGTTGTAGCAAGTTGCAAGACAGAATTGGAGAAGATGGTCACCATCTCTGTCTGTCTCTCTCTCTCTCTCTCTCTTGAGCTAGATCGTGTGAAGATTTCAGTCCAACTCAATATCAGTCCAACATTGCATCTATTGTCTTTAGAATGAGTTCTTTCTGGCTTACAAGCAAGCCCGGAGGAGGGACGATGACATTGCCATCGTAAATGCAGCCTTCTGGGTGCGGTTTGAGGAGGAGACAAACGTTATCCAGGACATCGCCCTGTCCTTCGGAGGAATGGCTCCCACCACCGTCATGGCTCGCAACACGGCCAACAGGCTTGTGGGACTGTGAGTGAAACACAAGTTTATCCTGTGTATAATCATCAGTTAACAAAAAAAGTGCAAGAGTGTAAGAATTGCAGAAGATAGAATACAACATAGAGACAGAAAAGAGTAGAAGAGCGTAAAAATAGCATGAGGTAGATTATAAATGGAAAAGTGCAAATTAGTCCATTCTTTTGTAGCCCGTATAACCATTTTTTTCTTGGCTTGCTATCTCCTAGACAGTAATTCGAATTGTAGTTTTAGAGAGTGAGACAATAATCTAAGTGGGAAGTTTTGTCTACATTGTTCAAAATTGGGACAATGATCTGAGTTGGAATTGTTGTCTACATAATGGGACAATGATTTAAGTGGGAAGTCTTGTTTATATTATTAGGAAGTGGGACAACGACCTGCTCCCCGAGGCCTGCTCCAGTCTGGAGGACGACCTGCCGCTGCCCCCGTCTGTCCCCGGAGGAATGGCCGAGTTCCGCCGAACCCTCACCACCAGCTTCTTCTTCAAGTTCTTTCTGTCTGTACAGCAGAGGCTCAACCTCAAGGTACCATTTTATTTATTACCAGTAGCATGTTAGTACTTCTATGACAGTAACCGTCAATAAGAGATCAGTCTGAATAATTGTTACGAAGCATCAGTACTTGTCAGTTACATTGCAGTCAATATAGAACGCTACACGGTGTATTCCATATCGCCTGAGGTATCAGCCCGACCGCGGGTCGGATCGCTCGAAGGCCTGAGGGAGATAAGATCCGCGGGAGGGCTGGGACCGAGGATACCTGTATAGAACACCGCGCATCAAAGGTATTCGTAATTTCGGAATACCCGTATCGAACGTATTGGTGGCCCAGGTATGACACAATGAGTTACATGTAATCTGCTTTACAGAGATGTTACTAAAATGGGACTGTCAGTAACTGATCAGTTGCTGACAGTCACATATGAGTACAGTTCTTGGTGATGAGCACCATCTGCACTCAGATACACAGACCTGCCCTTGGTGATAAACACCATCTGCACAGAGGCACACAGACCTGTCCTTGGTGTTGAACACCTTCTGCACCGTACATCTATCCCAGATCCAAAAGATGATGATGAGCAACTATTATTTTTTATCACATCTCTGTGTTTTCTCCTGTACAGGATGTCCCCCCGACCTACAGGAGTGCCTGCAGCCTGTACCACAGAGAGCCGTCACATGGTACACAGATGTATCAGGTAGAGTGGAACTCGCTGCCTTCAAGTACAGTTTGGGCATCATAACCAGATAGCTTTAAACAGTGCTTAGTTAGATGAGCATATGACAGAGCCAGCTGTCGCCGTGATGAATGCCTGCAAAACTGGTGTGTTATGCCAAAGGGCATCTATACCGTCTGTACAGATATAGAATCTGATACAGACCGAGGTAACGTGGTCTCTCGTGGTCTGGTAGGATGCACAGCTTAATAGCTATACAGTCATCTTTACTTTAACTGTCTACACTGGTTATAGGAGGGACATAGGTCGAGCAAACATAACACTGCGCTGTAGTATACATTAAGTGTATGAATAATCAAGGTACAAGAGTTTAAACTTCTAAAAGCAAAATGTTTGCTGAGAATTAACGTAAAAGTAACTTTAGGTACAATGTATAACAGTAAAGCGTGTTTAATAACACACTTTCTCCTGTTTTCTCGGGAAATTTGATTAAATTGAAATGACCAACTTGTCTGTACAGGAGGTTCCTGAAGGTCAGGCGAGGGAGGATGCTGTTGGGCGTCCCATCATGCACCTGTCTGCGCTGAAGCAGGTGACTGGGGAGGCTGTGTACACGGACGACATGCCCCCCCTACAGGGTGAGGAGGGAGACATCAGAGGTTTTAACTTGAACACTAGAAAGGCCAATATTTGGTTTGGAGCAAATACAGCGATGGGTTCACCACATTTTACCACATGGCAGGGAAAGAATGAGAAACACAAGGGAAAACAATGATTACATTGATATAACTATAATATGAAGTAACATACAACTAAAAACAACAGTTGGATAGCTATTCCCTACTTTATTGGTTAGGATTTTTAATTGCATAATGCAAACTATTGATTTTCAAAATAAAATAAAAAACGTTCATGCCCCGCATTCCAATGCTGGAGCAGAAAAGCTTGAAATACCTACCAAAACACTTGAATAAAGACATACTGTCAGTATGGAAATGCTCTGTGCAGGTGTTAATCAAGTTAAATCCCAACAGCCAATCAGCAAGAAATGCTCTGTGCAGGTGGAAATGCTCTGTGCGGGTGTTAATCAAGTTAAATCCCAACAGCCAATCAGCAAGAAGTATAGAGGAAAGCTGCATGCCTATTGGTTGATGCCCTGCATTCCATTGTGATGACTCATGCCCAGACGTGGTAAACAAGGCACACTAACACAGTAATACATTTGCTATAACACAGCCAAAAAACTCAAATAAAACCATTCTAAAAGCCTGTATCATAAAAATTTAAAAAACGCCTAGGGGTATTTGCCCACTGTACCTCCATACCAAATTTCAGGACCTTAGGCCCTAAAATGAAGAAGCTGAATCCTTTTAAAGATATGGCAGGAGGAGAAGGAGAAGGAGGAGAAGGAGGAGAAGAAACATCAGAAAAAGCAATATGGGTTCACCACCACTTCGTGGTGTGGTGAACCCATAATTACATACCAACACAGATGAACTTTCATAATAAAATGTAATATCCAAGCAGATCTTTCGGTGGGGGTAAGACAGTATCAAATATCCATTTCCCCATCCATTACCCACTTATCCCCACCGAATCTGTTTGGAGATTACATTGTTTTAACTATTAGGAATGATTGTTCATCTGTGTTGGTAGTGTGTAATGTTTAAGTTAAAACGTTAGATCCAACACAAAGACGTTCTCTCACCTAGAGCTTTCGACCAGTCACTCTGGTCTTCCTCAGTAGACTGACCCAGTGAAGCTTGTCACATGGCTTCTTTGAAGTGTGACGACTACACTGGGTCAAAGGTATCTGGGGAGGCTGTGTACACGGATAGCATGTCGTGCCTACAGGGTAAGGAGGGAATCCTGGCTCTACTTATAAACTGTATATGTTTCATTTACTTCATTTCACACTAAAATACATTGCAGTATCGTATCCAGAACCCTGCCTAATAATATAACATTACACACTGTTAGTTCTATGCCTGAATGACTTAGGGTTACGATCAGGCTTAGTTCTAGTCTTAGATATCATAGATTATATCAAAGAACGTAGATTTGCTCCAAGCATGGTTCTGAATACGTGTGAACTATCCAGAGCCATGCCAAAGCACGGATCTGGATATAAAGCATGGTTCTGGATGCAACAGTGAGGACGGACGGCAGTTAGTACTGTGCCCAGTTCAAAGGCTGTTTATAAAGGAATGAACAGTTTATTGTGAAAAGTGTATAATTTGCCAACCTGCATATGGTAATGACAACAGTCGAGTATTGCATGAGCTTGCCTGTTGTCTAACATACATGTACATGCTGTGTTCATGTCAGGTGAACTGTATCTTGGACTGGTGCTCAGCAAAAAGGCTCATGCCAAAATTCTGTAAGTTGATGATGTATTGTGTAACATGTTACCTGTAACAGTAAATAATTGGGCTTGCTCTGATATAGTTTAAAAAATTATTCGTGTGTAGCAGGTATGTTTCCAGTATGTTTGAACAATCCTTATGATAATGTTATCATTCACTTCGATCATCTTGGTTTTCACATATGAACATTGTCCCTTGTAATGAAATAGAACAAGCTTTTGTGTATCTTAAAAGGCTTTCTTCAAGAATTATTACCATTCCCCAGCTCCATTGACCCCAGTGCAGCCCTGCAGATGCCGGGAGTGGAGATGTTTGTCAGTGCCAAGGATGTCCCGGGCTCCAACGTCACGGGTCCCGACGTCATGGACGAAGAGATCTTCGCCTCTGAGAAGGTAACTTTCACAAGTCAGGGCAATTTGCAATTGTTGTGTAATTTCTTTGTGATAAGGTTTTTTTGGTTTGTTTTTTTGTTTGTATGCACTTGTGTCGTTGAGTTCTTAAAATGACATTGAACCATGTTTCAAGGAAGCACAGCAAGGGTCCTGGCAGTCATATTGCCAATTAGAGTTGCAAAGTTTACCATTCAAACAAAACAAAAGAATCATTAACCAATTAAAGCAACGTACGTGGTCTTTCAATTTATTTTATTTTTTAGCCAGAGTAGCCTTCTCAGTGATTAACACTGCTTTGCAGTGGGGCCCTGAACTCTAATTAGAGGTTCTGAAACGACTGCAACTGTGCTGAAACATGAATTGTTCATATTGTATTAAAAACATGAATTATTTCCTGTAATTATGTAGAGGAAGAATATAGGCATGCCTAGAACTTGGGATGTGTTGTTATTCCATGTAGGTGACCTGTGTTGGGCAGGTAGTAGGTGCCGTGCTGGCGGACACACAGGCACATGCGCAACGGGCAGCTAAATCAGTGGTGGTGCAGTATGATGACCTGGAACCCAAAATCATCACAATTGAGGTCAGTAAGGTCAAACATGGGTTGTACCTAGAGCAAGTGCAAAAGAAGTGTTTGATCTGATCCAGAGGTTTATTGCCCGTTGTCCCTCCAGTTGTTTTGACTATTGGCTGAATACAAAATGAGCTAAGACTTAGGCAAAATTGGCCATAAGTAATGACTGGTTGGAAAAAATATGCTGATTCTGACACGGAAAACCAGTCCATGTCTCTTAGGTTGATATATGGTGTGCTAATTTCTCTCTGTGTAATCAATCATGCCTTTGCTTATCAGGATGCAATTCTGCATCAGTCGTTCTTCCATCCCATCAACAAGATAGAGAAGGGAAATCTGGAGGAGGCTTTTCAGAAGGCTGACCAGGTAACACAGCTGTCCATTGTCTAGCTGAAGGAATTGAGCAATATTGTTCAGTTTATAGAGGTGCTGTCACAATGGTCGACCAGCCCCTCCAGCTCTGTTCTGCCTCGTGCTACATAATGTGCTTCAACACGAGGCGTGACAGAGCTGAAGGAAGCAGTCACTACATATATATAACAATAAACATAACGGTAGTTTCTTAGGCTAGACCTAGACCAAATGTTATAAATTTGCTTTGAAACTGCAAAAGTTACCTAATAGTTCATCATCTACATGTATATGAGAACATTGAGGGTGAGCTGAGGATTGGAGGCCAGGAGCACTTCTACATGGAGACCTGCGCCGCCATCGTGGTGCCTCATGGGGAGGACGTGGAGATGGAGATCTACTGTTCCACACAGAACCCGAAGATGACACAGGTTAGTCTTACAGAACCCCACCAAGACACAGGTCAGTCTAACAGAACCCCACCAAGACACAGGTCAGTATAACAGAACCCCACCAAGACACAGGTCAGTCTAACGGAACCCCACCAAGACACATGTCAGTCTTACAGAACCTCACCAAGACACAGGTCAGTCTTACAGAACCCCACCAAGACACAGGTCAGTCTTACAGAACCCCACCAAGACACAGGTCAGTCTAACAAAACTCCACCTAGACACAGGTCAGTCTAACAGAACCTCACCAAGACACGGGTCAGTCTTACACAGCCCCAACCAGACACAGGTCAGTCTAACAGAACCCCACCAAGACACAGGTCAGTCTAACAGAACCCCACCAAGACACATGTCAGTCTTACAGAACCTCACCAAGACACAGGTCAGTCTTACAGAACCCCACCAAGACACAGGTCAGTCTAACAGAACCCCACCAAGACACATGTCAGTCTTACAGAACCCCACCAAGACACAGGTCAGTCTTACAGAACCCCACCAAGACACAGGTCAGTCTTACAGAACCCCACCAAGACACAGGTCAGTCTAACAGAACCCCACCAAGACACATGTCAGTCTTACAGAACCCCACCAAGACACAGGTCAGTCAAACAGAACCCCACCAAGACACAGGTCAGTCTAACAGAACCCCACCAGACACATGTCAGTCTAACAGTACCCCACCAAGACACAGGTCAGTCAAACAGAACCCCACCAAGACACAGGTTAGTCTAAAACAACCCCACCAAGACACAGATCAGTCTAACAGAACCCCACCAAGACACATGTCAGTCTTACAGAACCCCACTAAGACACAGGTCAGTCTTACAGAACCCCACCAAGACACAGGTCAGTCTTACACAGCCCCAACCAGACACGGGTCAGTCTAACAGAACCCCACCAAGACACAGGTCAGTCTAACAGAACCCCACCAAGACACAGGTCAGTCTAACAGAACCCCACCAAGACACAGGTCAGTCAAACAGAACCGCACCAAGACACAGGTCAGTCTTACAGAACCCCACCAAGACACAGATCAGTCTAACAGAACCCCACCAAGACACATGTCAGTCTTACAGAACCCCACCAGACACATGTCAGTCTTACAGAACCCCACCAAGACACATGTCAGTCTTACAGAACCCCACCAAGACACAGGACTGATCTTGGTGCTGAAATTTTTGCTGTGATTCCTACATGGCTATGAGATAGAAAGCATCCTCCACACGCGTGTTTGTGTGCATTATACCTCTTTGAGATTATCAAAAACAAATGTGATGCTGTTGTTCACTAGATGATGGCAGCTAATGCCCTGGGTATTCCTGAAAATAGGGTGGTCTGCAGGGTGAAGAGGATGGGTGAGCAAACATACTTGTCTTTCTACATTATGTATCTAATAGGGATGAATAGTAGTGACCAGTTTTGACACCAATTGCTTTTGAATAAAATGTAACATTTTCGTAAGTTTTTCGCTGACAAAGTCTAAATGTTTCTGTTAGTAATTGTCACTAAGATACATCGATCCTATATTTTCTTACATAGGATTGTGTGTCTGTTATAAGACAATATTATTTGATGTTTATTGTTGTATGTTTTTACAGGTGGAGGTTTTTGGAGGGAAGCAGACACGATCGTGTGTTGTTAGTTCAGTCGGTGCCGTGGCTGCTCACAGTAGGTTACCTGCATTAGTGATGCCTAATTGCACCATCGATGACCGGCATACCCATAATATTACCACAGATAAAAGGCTAGCAACATCGTCTCTGAATGACAACAACCCAAACAGTATCATCAGCTTGAGTTATGGAGATTGAGCTCTCTGAAAATGGGTTCCTTGGATTGTACAATGAGACAAAGATGACCTACATCTGTCCTAGTGTAATCACATTTGTTCTGTCTGACTGTCTCTTCCCTGTCAGGGCTCAGAGATCACACCTGTTCTGTCTCTCTTGTCAGGGCTCAGAGATCACACTTGTTCTGTCTCTCTCCTGTCAGGGTTCAGAGATCACACTTGTTTTGTCTCTCTCCTGTCAGGGCTCAGAGATCACATTTGTTCTGTCTCTCTCCTGTCAGGGCTCAGAGATCACACTTGTTCTGTCTCTCTCCTGTCAGGGTTCAGAGATCACACTTGTTCTGTGTCTCTCCTGTCAGGGTTTAGAGATCACACTTGTTCTGTCTCTCTCCTGTCAGGGCTCAGAGATCACACTTGTTCTGTGTCTCTCCTGTCAGGGCTCAGAGATCACACTTCTTCTGTGTCTCTCCTGTCAGGGTTCAGAGATCACACTTGTTCTGTCTCTCTCCTGTCAGGGCTCAGAGATCACACTTGTTCTGTCTCTCTCCTGTCAGGGTTTAGAGATCACACGTGTTCTGTCTCTCTCCTGTCAGGGTTTAGAGATCACACTTGTTCTGTCTCTCTCCTGTCAGGGTTTAGAGATCACACTTGTTCTGTCTCTCTCCTGTCAGGGTTTAGAGATCACACGTGTTCTGTCTCTCTCCTGTCAGGGTTTAGAGATCACACTTGTTCTGTCTCTCTCCTGTCAGGGTTTAGAGATCGCACTTGTTCTGTCTCTCTCCTGTCAGGGTTTAGAGATCACACTTGTTCTGTCTCTCTTTTGTCAGGGATCAGAGATCACACTTGTTCTGTCTCTCTTTTGTCGGAGTTTAGAGATCACACTTGTTCTGCCCCTCTCCTGTCAGGGAACAGAGATCACATTTGTTCTGCCTCTCTCCTCTAAGGGCTCAGAGATCAGTGAGGATCATGCTGGACAGAAATGAGGATATGATGATAACAGGGACGAGGCACCCTTTCCTGGGCAGATACAAGGTGTCTGGTTTAAGTTAAAATCTTGTCAGAGCTTGAATAAAACATTGTCTGAACACAGAACGCTTAGGCTTCATTTGTTTGGTTAGTCTTTCTGTGTGGATCACTATATTTTCATTGGAAAGTATTTCATGTTGTACACTTGATAGCTTTCTCTGTGCACTCTGGTGAGAGTATGCAAAACTGCAGTTCTTGTATTCTTGAGTGAGGTTTCACGAAAGCTGTGCAGTCACATTGTTGCTGTTTTTAAACTCTGAAAGAGTTCTATTTGGACATGTCGGTTTGCAGTGTTTGGTCTTAATTCGCAGAACTGCAGAAACATATGATATCACTTGCTAGTCACGTCTGTGAAGCTTGATGATAGTACAGCCTAACCCTGTTGCTGTGTTCTGCAGGTTGGGTTCATGAATGATGGGAGAGTTGTGGCCCTGGACATCAGTCTGTACAGTAATGCAGGGAACTCTGCGGACCTGTCCATTGAGGTAAGTAGCAATGATCAGAACTAAAACACTTTGTACCTAAAGAAAATTGCCTTTTTCTGCAGTAAATGTGTACAAACAGTTTTTCTTTCATCAGATCATGACAGATGGGATGGGTAGTAGAATAGACAGACAATTCCATATTATACAATTCAACTCTAAATTAAGAAAACTTACTTTAACAAATCTTAGATTAGTACAGATGGGTAGTCATACAAATCTCAAACTGAAATTACATCTTTATTGTTTTATTTGGGTAGAGGCAAATGTTTTTCCTTTGGGTCTGATTTTGACATTTTCTCTGCTTAGCACTCAGCACATATGAGAAAGAGTGTGGAAAGGTCAAACACACAGCACTACCAGCGGACTAGCCTCCTGCTGTAGTGCCTTGCACAACTGTATGTCGCCCAAGGGCTATGGAAATGGAGATGGGCACCACCCCTATGCTCTGCAAAGATTGGAACAGGACCTTTTTTGTGACACCGGCATGTCGGTAGCTCAGTAGTGTATGTTTTTTCAGGTTATGGAGCGATCATTATTACACTCCGACGGCGGTTACACCATTCCCAATGTCCGAGCAGTCGGCTACGTCTGTAAGACAAATACTGTGTCCAACACGGCCTTCCGCGCCTTCGGAGGTCCCCAGGCTCTTTATTTTGTTGAGAGTTGGATTTCTGACATAGCTATCAAGTGTGGGATCTCTCAGCTTAAGGTACGTGTAAAATGTTGCAAAATGAGTGGTATAAAATGCAGGGAATAAAATTTCTATTGCACATGAAAGCATTTATGTTGTATTGACGCTGATTGGAAGAGTACAATTCACGCAATATTTCTCTTGAAAACTTGCCTGACTGAGTATGAGACTTGGCTTCCAACACCCCAGATACAAACCCTCGTCTCATTGCCAACAGGTGCGAGAGATAAACATGAACAGGGAGGGTGACCTGACTCACTACAACATGAAGCTGGAGCGGTGTCAGATGGAGCGCTGCTGGCAGGAGTGTCTGAAGAAGAGCGACTTCCACAACAGGCACAGACAGGTCAACATGTTCAACGGGTGAGCTTAGCACCAGGAACAGGACTAGAGTATACATAATATACTTTACTTATACTTTATTCATAAAAATCAACATAGCAGTATAATAACATGTCATGTATATGTAAGTCCTTCAAAATGCCCCATGTTTTACTTGTCATCTCAGTACTGACGATTCCAGTGACTCCAATCGTATAAACAAAAAAGAAATCTGGGATTCCAAACCTCTGGGAAGTACTAGTATATATACACGTGGTGATCACAACAACTGTTAAACATCCAGACACCCAACCATTATGCCACACAGTCCCACTAAATAAAATACAGTGCCTCGTGTATTTTAAATGACCCAAGGTAATTATCATTCACAGCCATTCCAGTATTATTTTCTTCAAGTCATGACTAAGTCATGTCAATTCTCATGTATGCATACAATAAAACACAATTATATTATGTACAAATACTTATTTTCACTTACAACAGCGGGAGCAGGTGGAAAAAACGTGGGCTGGCAGCCATCCCAATCAAGTATGGCATTGCCTTTGGAACATTTCTTGACCAGGTAAGAGTCAGTCTTCAATTGGACCATTACATATTTTTTGCCAATCAGAGAACAGTCACATGTATGCATTCTCAGTTTTTACCCTGACTTTTCAAATACAGACTTAACATGCACAGCCTACCTCCCTGTCCTTGTTCCTTGTATGGTGCACCTGTATTGCCTTCCAAGGTCGGTGCCCTGCTGCATGTGCAGTATGTCTGTATTGCCTCCCCAGGCCGGTGCCCTGCTGCATGTGTGATGTGTCTGTGTCTTGTCTCTCCAGGCCGGTGCCCTGGTGCATGTGTGATGTGCCCTGGTGCATGTGTGATGTGCCCTGGTGCATGTGTGATGTGCCCTGGTGCATGTCTGATGTGTCTGTATCGCCTCCCCAGGCCGGTGCCCTGGTGCATGTGCGATATGTCTGTCTTGCCTCCCCAGGCCAGTGCCATGTGTGATGTGTCTGTATAACCCCCCCCCCCCACGGCTGGTGCCCTGGTGCACGTGTACACGGACGGGTCCGTGCTGCTGACCCACGGTGGAACAGAGATGGGGCAGGGTCTGCACACCAAGATGGTCCAGGTGGCCAGCAGGGCGCTGAGGATCCCTACTTCCAAAATCCACATCAGTGAGACCAGCACCAACACTGTACCCAACACCTCCCCTACTGCTGCTAGTGTCAGCTCTGATCTCAACGGAATGGCTGTCAAGGTGTGATCTGAAGACAGCTTGTTTCATTTTGTCTTGTGCCTGATGCTTTAAAGAAAGATAAATCTAAATAGCAGTTCTTGTACACAGTCAAGATAAACTGGTCTTTTCCATCAAGTAAGTCGATCGGTCACGTCGATGAAGGTTTGACATCCAGGTAATACGATACGCCAAAAAGCAGTTACTCAAGCAAATGGGTATGATTTTGAAAACGTCAGACGTTTCAGCTAGTATCCACTAGCTTTCGTCAGTGACTGAGAGACCAGAGGGGAAATGCAGGTTTATAAGCACAAACTATTGATTGATATGCAAATAAAGTGAAGACAAATTTTTGGAAGTCAAAAAAGGAACAAAAGTCAGACAATTCAAGACAAGATAATGTAACTCCAGAAAGCTCCTGTTATACAGAACAGGAGTTTAATAAGTGTTGTCTGTCCTCGGGGCCGGGAGTGCCAAATCTCAAGTGCCGGAGAGATCCACCCGTAGCCCCCCTTCCCTGTTGAGGGACTTGTCTGACATTTGTTCCTTTTCCGACTTCCAAAAATTTGTCTTCACTTTATTTGCATATCAATCAATAGTTTGTGCTAATAAACCTGCATTTCCCCTCTGGTCTCTCAGTCACTGACGAAAGCTAGTGGATACTAGCTGAAACGTCTGACGTTTTCAAAATCATATCCAGTTGCTTGAGTAACTGCTTTTTGGCAAGTCGATCGGTCGCAGATCTAGTAAGCAATAATCAATTTAATAATTATGTTTGATAGATCAGTAGACTTTCAGTATACGTGTCATGTACAGTTAAATCTTTCCCATACGGGTCTGTCCACTTGTCCAAGAAGAACACCAAGTCTTCACCTAGGTTTTCATTTTGGGCAGGTTTGACTATATATCATCAGAATGACAGTTTGTGTTATGTGATTGATCCGTCCCCTGTTTTTTTCCCAGCTTGCTTGTGAGACCATCCTGCAGCGACTGGAGCCGTACATGGGGAAGGGTTCCTGGGAGGACTGGGTGCGGGCGGCGTACTTCGACAGAGTCAGTCTGTCAGCAACTGGCTTCTACAGGTCCGTGGGCTGGGACTTTTTCAAACACAGACATAGTAGAGTGAAATTCACTGCCACCAAGGGTAGTTGGGTCATCATTCATCACTAGATAGCTTTAAATAATGCTTACAGTTAGATGTGCAAAGGTTAGGTGTGACAGGTAGTTTATAGTGTAATATAGCCAGCTGCCACCGTATCACGTGCCTGTGAAGCATACACACCTTGTGTGTTACACGAAAGGGCAGTTATTCTGGCTATACTTGGCTTTTCACTTTGACAATTGCAAATCTTAAGTACATTTACATTGCTGTGAATGGTTGTCTGTTCAGCACCCCGGGACTCGGTTACGACATGCAGAAGAATGAGGGGAGGCCCTATAACTACTTCTGCTACGGAGCAGCCGTGTCAGAGGTCGAGATAGACTGCCTCACCGGAGATCACACGGTAACACGTGGGCTCTTGATGACCAAATACTCGGATGCTTAATTGACTCCTTGAGCTTTCATACAATTCAAATACAAAGCTTTTCTTCCTGAAGGAAACATATAGTGCAAGTACATAACAGATCAATTACTCTTAGACTACTGGTAATTTACACAAAAGGCTTACAGGGAGCTCCCCTGAAATTTGTTTTTATGAGCAACTTGGGATCTTCATGTCATTTTGTGATATTATGAAGATTACAGATTATTTCAGTCTAGGGTGTGGGCCCTTAGAAAGAGTCCAACTTACCGTAACACTCGTTCCTCTTAATTCTGACTCTTATATCCACCTAATGCATCGGATGGCACTGGATGTGCTGCAATATTTTACACAGTCACACATTGCTCCAACAACGTAGTGACTTGTTGCCGCACCCCACAGGTTCTGCGCACAGACATAGTGATGGACGTGGGGGACAGCTTGAACCCTGCGATAGACATTGGACAGGTACGGTGGTGGCAGTCTACTATCATAGTCTAATCAACAAATCGATTTCTTAGTGACTCTATTGGTCGCGGTTTCCTGTTATATATTTACAATCGGTATTGTAGTTTTTAATATAGTGATGTGAAAAAAAATATTGTTTTTAACAAACTCACTTAATTCAAGGCACATTTGTGCCCTTCCCTGCCAATTTCATTTTGTGTGAGAAACAATAAAAAGAATAAGGTACTTTTGATTGTTGAAGTACAACCCAGTCCTTCTACATGGAAATCATAAGGTGTAGCTTTTAATTTATTGTAAGATCTGTGATGTTTTCTAACAGATAACTCAGTTATTCCTCACCGTAATTCAACTGTTGTACCAGAGTCAATAGGTATTGGACAATAGATGATGTTGATCTATTGTCCATTGTACTGTCATGAAGGTTCATCTGTGTTGGTAGCTACATGTTTAAAGTTAAAACGTTAGATCCAACACAAAGACATTCTCTCCCCTAGAGCTTTCGAACTGAGCTGAGTCACTCTGGTTCAGTAGGTCAGTAGGGTCAGTAAAATGACCCAGTGAGGCTTGTCACGTGGTTTCTTTGAAGTGTTTCACCCCTCTCATGAAATAGTCTTGTTCAGTGTCCAAATATGCTTACAGTGTCCAGTGACTGAACTTTGCCGTGAGTGTTCTTTTGTCCATTGTTGTTTCTGGATTGCAGTAACACAGATTTTCCCGTAGATCGAGGGAGCCTTTGTGCAGGGCTATGGCTTGTTCACCATGGAGGAGCAGGTCTACTCGCCCGACGGGGTGCTGTACTCACGAGGACCCGGCATGTACAAGATTCCCGGCTTTGCCGACATCCCCGTCCAACTCAACGTGTCCCTGCTGAGAGGCGCGCCCAACGACAAGGCAATCTTCTCATCCAAGGTAGGCCTGGTTATAACGTTTACCTTCACAGAGGGTAAAAACTGTTTTTTGCACAGTTCACATCACACAAACTGCTTTTGCACAGCTCCTTCTTCTTTTCCTTCTTCAAACACATACTTAGGTCAATTCCCAGGACCAGGTGGCTGTAACCATGGTAACTGTTGCTGTAGCAGACACCTTGTGGTGTAATTGCTTGCCAGTTCAATGTCTTAATTCTCCAATTTCTACCAAAAATTTACTGCGAAGGAAGTCACCCAAAACGTGTGGAAATGTAACTGCCTGTATGTTAGAAATCATGTAATATATACTTTTGTTCAAGCATTGCAGCACTTAACAATTACAGACATGACGGAAGTATTTCTGTTTGAATTTTCAAAACCCATAACTCCTGTCCTTATCCCTCCACCCCCAGGCTGTAGGAGAACCACCCCTCCTCCTGGCCTTTTCTGTCTTCTTTGCCATCAAAGATGCCATCTCCTCTGCCCGGGCGGACGCGGGGCTGAAGGGCGTGTTCCGCCTGGACAGCCCCGCAACGGCCGAGCGCATCCGCATGGCCTGCCAGGACCAGTTTACTGCACAGGTAAGGAGGTATTCTTATCCATGGTTTGTCTGCGTCAAGCTTTCTCTGGTTTATGGATTGAAACATTCCATGTTCAATGTTGGGCTTAGCATTGTACAAAGTTCTTGTGTCGTTGTTCTTTTATGTTCCGATATCAGATTGTCAATCAAACATCAATGTCAATGCATTAGAACTGCCATAATTGTTGTTAAAACCCATGTTATATTTCACACCAAATACAAGTACATACAATTAGATGCTTTGTGTGTCTTTGAAAAGTATACGTAAGACAACTGCTACCAAAGGTCTGAGAAAAGTAGCGTTACGTGCACAACAGTGTTTTTCAACAATGTCATTTCATGCTACTGTTCCCTTGTAGTTCCCTGCAGCTGAGCCTGGACGCTTCACACCCTGGGCCATTAGACTTTAGGGGGAGCCAATAGGCTTTAGAAGGGGTCATCAGGCTTTAGGAGGGACCATTAGGCTTTAGGAGAGGCCATTAGTCTTTAGGAGAACTGATGAAGAACTTCCAGGGGCCGGCAACAGAAAACAGCAGCACGACTCCTGGCTTCATTCTTGCATGTGTGGTCAAGGGTTCGAAAAGATGTTATAGATTTTTGAGCTTAAAAGAGCCGTATTCATAATAGATTTACTAATAGGTGTTATCATTATAAACATAGGTAAGTGACCTGTGCATTGTGACCATCTGTTATCAAAGTTGCAAGCAAGACTACTTTGATTTCTGTACTATTGATAAAATTTTTAAACTTTAGGATGCTAAAAGTGAAAATCAAGTTTGATAAGAAACAAATGTAAAGAGAATTAATTTGATTGGATGCTAGAAATTATTTCCCGATATTTTATAAAATCCATTTTATAAGAGAAAAGACCAAAACAATAATATTTATTACATTTCTGTGTAAAATATAGCATGATATCATGACATTTTTAGTTAGATACATGTATTTGAGCAGATTTAAAAGACAAGAAATTCTGAGCCTGGGTGACAGATTTGTTAGCTAGATATCAGTGGAAGTGGACTAAAGTTAACACGACTGACAACCAGTCTTCCATGTGGTGTCCATGCGAAGATGTTTATGTATGTGACAAAATATGAACATGTTAGGCTCACATGTTGTTCATTTTATCTTTGTGATGCCAAGATAGCTCTGATAAAAGTCTGATAATATTTCTTAGGACAGAGATATGAGGTGGCCTTTGCAGGCACTGTGTGCAAAGTGCATTATGGAAGCAATGATAAATGATCGATATTTGTATCTAATAATATACTGATTCTGATAGGATATATATATCTTTTTAATTGCTCTTTATTTTACTTATTCTGAATATTTCTGCCATTGTATGTTGAAATAAATGATTCGGTGTATGAATATAAGAAAAAGCAAAACACTCTATTGTCATTATTTATGTATTTAGAGTTGGACTTAAGTGCATTGTCATTGACAATAAATCCTAGTTTGGAGCTATTAATCATAATCATAGTTTGGAGCCATAAAAATTCAATCTCCAATAACAGGTAACGCTGTATGCGACGGCCCCGAGCATTTTGACTTTCTGTAGAAATAGAGACCAAGCTAATTCTGAACAAATAAAAGGGATGGTGTTGATATTCAAAACTTTTCAAAGTAACGGAATCAACATTTGTGAACTAAACTTGACATGGAAGTGTAGTCGAATCCATGCAAAACCTTACCAGTGTTTCAATACCTTAGTGATGATGGATAGCTGTTCTTACGTTCAAATGTAAAAATCTAACGTAAACCCATCCACTTGCAACAAAGAGCTGCTCTGATTTAGAGCAAGATAAAACTGGGCATTACTGACAAATTGCATTACCTCAGCAACTCGCAAGACGTCCTCGTCCCAGCAAAGTTCTTGATAGTAGTAATAAGAGTGGTGTGGCGACGGCGAGCTTTGATGGAGGCAAACTATTGTCATTTGCGACAACATCGTGGTATCGTCTGTCTTATACAGGGGCGGATCTTACACAGTCGACGGCCAAATCTAGTCAATGGAAGAGCCGCTCCTCATTCCCGAGAAGATGCTTAGTGTGTCTATCTCCATCCCTCACTGAACGCCAGTTTCCTTCAACAAGTAGATTTCACCGTCCTTCACCACATAGACCTCGTCTTTCTCCACCATATAGACCTCACCTTCCTCCGTCATGAAATCATCACCATCCTCCACCAATCTGACCTCACCATCCTCCATCACGCCGACCTCACCATCCTCCATCACGCCGACCTCACCAGTCCTCCATCACGCCGACCTCACCATCCTCCATCACGCCGACCTCACCATCCTCCATCACGCCGACCTCACCATCCTCCATCACGCCGACCTCACCATCCTCCATCACGCCGACCTCACCATCCTCCATCACGCCGACCTCACCCATCACGCCGACCTCACCATCCTTTAGCTTGTCGAACTCACCATCCTTCAGCTCGTCAACTTCACCATCCTTTAGCTTGTAGACCTCACCATCCTTTAGCTTGTCAACTTCACCATCCTTTAGCTTGTCGACCTCACCATCCTTTAGCTTGTCGACCTCACCATCCTTTAGCTTGTCGACCTCACCATCCTTTAGCTTGTCGATCTCACCATCCTTTAGCTTGTCGATCTTACCATCCTTTAGCTTGTCGACCTCACCATCCTTTACCGTGTCAATTTTACCATCCTCTAGTGTATCCGCTTCACCATCCTTTAGCGTGTACACCTCACCATCCTTTAGCTTGTCGACCTCACCGTCCTTTAGCTTGTAGATCTCATCATCTTGCAGCTCTGCCGGAGCTTTTGGCTGTCCTTGCTCCGCTTTATTATCGGTCTTCTCATAGGGAGTGGCTGATTCTGAACAGAATGAAAACAAACGATGCAGTAGTGTTATTGTTTGACGTTTTGCATTTGTTTGATTTTTTTCCACCAACTCAAATGTCAGCTGAAAACTTGATGCTGACAACAGATCTGTCTTAAGTTACAGTCTACACACTAGCTGCTACGTAAACACAAGAATTTGGCTTCATACAGGTTCTTTATTTGTGAAATTATTGCTAACATTTATGAAAAAAGATATGCTAAGATGCTTTCCCGATGAAAAAGGCACATCATGCAGTCTGATACTCTTTTCTGTCTAAAACCTTTGCTTTATCTAAGACAACATTATGTACACTTAGACATCAATGAACGCCTTTTACCTTTGCCCAATGTGGAGTCAATCTTTACACCCAGGCCGTCGACGATAACCGACACTTGCAAGAACCCCTCCTTCTCCTCCTTCTGACGCCTGCCTTTCCGTGTTGCACCTAAGGCGTACCACTGTTTGTTCGGTAAACCTTCCACTGACTCCAGTGTGGCTGCGACATCGATACAGAGCTCTCCGATGGTTTTGTCCTTGCACCTTTTTGCTTTTCGCAGTTTCAGGACCAGTTTTTCTGTCGGTGACCACGGCGCGAACTCCGTAGAATGCTCCCAGATCAGTGCATCTGATTTTTTCTTGGCGGTCTGCATCTTTTTCGTGCCATGGCGCATTGTTACTACATACTTGCTCTGACACTGGCGACCAAGTTTGCCCTGGTGGACGGTGACGGTCAGTTTTGGCCCGTCGCTCTGTCTCTTATGCCCAGGCCTGAGCAATGACAGCGCCTGTACCAGAGTTAGGAAGGCTGAAGCTCCTTTGTCAACAAAGCCCATTTTATCAAGTAGAATACGCTAATTGTAGCTTTAGAAGACAAAAATAGGCTTGATAGATACGTGTTCGTGTCCACAGTTTGTGTTTTTCGTTGTTGTTCGACAGCGAAGCTGAAAGTCGTTCTGGAACACTGCGCAACAATCACGGAACAAACCACTATTACCCGTTGACCTCGGTGACCCTGAAATAATATAACCTAATAATAGCGACATCCCCAACTGTGACGTAAGGAGTGTGTGGAACAATATGAATATATATTAACTGTAAATGTATATATAGGCTTTGTTGTACATTCATGTCCTATCTGGATACTCTACATGCAAATGCAAATGCAGTATAGTAGAAATGTAACAGTATATTCATTGACAGGACTTTTAACACTTACATAAAACTTCTTCTTTTTCAATATAAAACGTGGGTTCCAAATTAAAACTGGTCCAATACATAAGTTCTTGGTGGTGTTGAAAAGCTATGTTGCGCCTGGTCTTGATAAACATAAATCGGTCAAAACGCATAAGAAATGTTAAGTTTCGGAACGTCGTGAAAGTTAGACATCCAGATAATACGATACGCCAAAACAGTTACTCAAGCAGCTGGACATGATTTTGGGAACGGTCAGACGTTTCAGGTAGCATCCACTACCTTTTGTCAATGACACTAGATAATTGCAGGAGAAAGGCAGTTTCATAAGCACGAACTATTGATTGATATGGAAATAAGTGAAGACACATGTTTTTTGGAAGCCCTAAAGGAAACAGTTTTTCTGCACGGTTTTCTGATCAACCGTAGAGCGCATACATTAGAAGCTCCGCCCGCCAAACCTAGTATGCCATGTATGCCTAGTATGCAAGTTGCAAAAAAAGCGTGGAACTTCGGTAGCCTGGATGCCATCCTCCAGCCCCGTGTGGATGGAGCC